TAGGGAAGGTGGATGGTTGTTGCAGTTTGGTGCCTTGTGCTGATATGCTAACAGTTACCTTGTGTAGCCTGACTCAGTAGGGTATCTCATTATCTTTCCTGACAAGTATTCTTTGTTGTCATAAGTCCAAATGTGTCATCCACCTCTGTTATCTGGGCATGTGAGGAGGTTGGAGGTCTTCTGGACTTGAAGTATGCTCCCAGCTGGCCTGATGCTACTGCTTTGTAGTTGACAGGGAGGGTAATGGTTAAGTGATGTTGCATGGCTGATTTTTGAGATGACGCATTGTGAGGAAGACAGAGTGGATGTCTCTTCTCCCAGCACCTGTGGGCAAGGCAGGGGAGCTAGTGGTTTGTGCCAAAGTAGTAAGTGAACAAAGCCCCAGCAGCTGTGATCAAGAGAAGTGTTTTATGGGAACAGTCCTGTACACACTGCACTTCTCATCCAGCCCTCTTGTCTGACTGTCCTCAGACTGTGGTTTGGATCCTTTTCTAGCTCTGGTGTCACCTTCCTGCTGGCCCAGGCACCTTCCCTATTTCCAGCTACAGAAGTCTCTGATGCTTTATTCCCTCTGTCCTGGTGGGCTTCTCCCCAGGCCTCAGCATAGCAAAAGAAATGTACTCCCTCTTAGCATTGACTTCGCAGGATCGTGTGATCCTCTTTTGCAACCTAGCTATGGGAGCCCCTAGGTGGTATAAAGGCTAGAGAGGATGAGTGGGCATGGCGCACCTGCCAACCTGCACTGCATGCTTGCATGGCTCAGTGACATGCTTTCATCCCACCTCTGTGAACTAATTGCTCTTTCTTCCTTTCTGTGTTTTTTCTCTCTACACACTCTGTAGCTGCCTGAAAATGCTCAACTTGTGGTGAGTCCCTCTCTCCAGTCCACATGCGAGGGGGAGCGGACCAGACTAGACTGAGATTGGCAAAATGCAGTCATTCTAAACCTTTTAGCCACACGAATCAAACAAAACCCAAACTGCCAAACCAGTGCAATTACTGCTTAAAGCAAGGGTGGGGAACACTTGTAGGACTGTGGGAGGGACTCTTCAACAGGAGGCGATGCTGGCCTAAGCAACTGGACTGACCCATCGAAAACTCAACCCCCGCACCCAATGGCTTTTACTTTTATTCACTGAACGCTCATGGTTCTTGAACAAATGATGTTTGACGGAGTTGGGCAGAGGTGGAACCAAGCCTGAAAAACCTCTTGTGGGAATTCCTCACAACAGATGGCTCAGGAATGGAAAGCTCTGCAAACCACTCAAGTCTCCTGGCAGCAGGGTGCTTGTCCTCAGCAGGCACTGGCACCCTCCTATGAAGGGTGTAGGCTGTCTTCTCCTCTGCAGACCTCCCCATCAGAGGAACAGTCCTAGGCATCTCTTATGTCATTAGGACCTCCCTCATAGCAGTATGAGGCAGGGCTAGAGCCCATTGCTCCACTGGATGGGTGCAAGCTAGTGGTTGCCTTCCGCAAAGTTCCTGCAACAGGCAGGTGGGAAGGGAAAGGCCACAATATAAGTCTAATGGGGGGTGGGAGGAGAGCAGCTGCTTTGTGAGTTTGCTCAGTGTGCTGTGCCAACCCCCCATGCCCAGGGAGACCCCAAGCAGTGAAGCTCAGCATATCTGTACGATGCTGTGCTTTGAGTCCTATCTACATGTTGGTCCAGCTGTAGAGAAGTTTAAAACTCCCTGAAGGGCCCCATGTGTGGTGAAGGATGTTCCTGCTTGTTGGCAGACTGGTCCTCCTCAGCCCTCCTCTCCATTGGCACTTGCCTCCAGTATCTCTGGCATCTCTGGCTTCTCTGTATGTCATAGTCTGGGGCTGTTCTCTTGGACATTGTCTGCATGCACGAGGGTCACGTTCTGTAATTGTCAGCCTGCCTGATTCTTTTATTTTGTTTCTGCCTCTACCTGTGTTTAATGAACTCTCAGGACTTCCTTTCCTGAACCCTTCCAAACAAGCTGAGGAGCCCCCTATCTGAGTGAAGGAGTCGCCAGGGAAATAAATGGCTGGAAAGCACAGCCAGAGATGTTAAGTCCTCCACATCTGGGGCAATGAGTGCACCTACTGCTTGGGGCCCACTTTCCATCCCTAGTGGGTAGGATACACACATGCAGTCATCCCTGCTGCAGACTGCTCCCATTTCTTCCCATGACAGTTTCCTTTTCATTTTCTCATGCCTGAGCCATGAAGGAAGGTTGGTACTGTGGATGCAGAGTAAAATAGGGGGAGGAGAGGGGATGTGGATATGCATACAGATATCTGGGTACATTTCTTTGGCATGTGCTCTGTAGATTCCACCAGATAATCACAGAGATCTCTTCTGGCTTTCACAGCTAGATACGTAGATCATGCTTTCCACTGGCCTGGGATACTAGGGACTCTAGGCATCTACCATCTGGTAGCTCTTCAGGGGGCCTATGTGGAATGATCTGTTTACTTGAAGAGAGATTGTGATGCACGTTCTTCCGCCCCAACTCCAGAACTGGGCCTTGCTTTCTGGAGTGGACTTTAAGGATGAACCCTGGAGAATGAACAGCCCTTCACCCCACGAGACCATTTCTTCTTGCCAGGGCTCTGGGAAGGGATGATGGTAGCTCACCCTTTCTATTGCCATAGCTGCATCTGCTCTGCATACATGAAGAATATGTAGGTTCAGGGCTGCCAGTTTGGCACCTGTCACATCCCTTACCTGAGGGACATGGTGGTGTTGGTCATTCCTCAGTTTCATAGCTAAGACCTGAAGAGAGGTGGAGGGTGGAGAAACAAAGCTAGTGTGTGTTTGCTAATCAGTGCACAGGTAAATGCCAGCATTAAATGACTGCATTGGGCTACCACTCACCCAACGGAAATCTAGTCTGGAGATATCATGCAGCTTCTGAATGTCTTTGCTCCTGATGGATTGTGGCTTGGGGCACTTACCTACAATATCCCTCACACCTCCATCTGCTCTTATGCTGCTTATTCTCTTCTTCACTCCCTAAAAAGCCATAATCCTATAACAACTTAGCTGCTATGGAAATTGTTGTGGTGTCATAGAGAGGAAATGAGCAGGGAAGCAGATGAGCTTGCTAAGAAGCAAGATGTTTTTTTCTATGCAAGAAGTTCCTGACAGTAGAACCCAAAGACTGAGAAATACAGGCAGGCCTTGAAATGCCATGTAATTTCATGAGGAGCCAGCAGGAGCTGAAAGCCTGGGTGATGGAGGTTTTACTTATGGGATCTACTGAAATTAATCTTTCAAGGATCAGCTGTGAAATGATGTCCATTTCTTACCACATCTGTTTCCAACATTCCTGGTTTTCTGCCTCCCTTACTCCCTGTGCCCATGGTCAGGGAGTAAACCAGGTGTGCAGACATGGGCTAAACGATTGGTCTTGAAACTGAAGCATTGGTTGCTTGTTCTCCATTAAGGGTTCAGTAAAGGAAGCTGGCCCCTAACAAAGCCCTCTTCATCTTAACTTGTGTTTCTAAATTGCTCATGTTCTGTGGTGTGCACACTCATCAGGCTGGGCTCAGACCATTCCAGCAGCATCATTCAGTCTTGGACAAAGGAAACAGAATAGCAGGGTCCTTGGGTGTATCTCACTTGTCTCCTTTAGTCCCAGTGTGTAGTCTGGCAACGTGGAGACCTTTGTTCCTTTTTCCTCCCAATTAAGCCCCTGGAGGCAGAGACCTGCATTCATATAGTGCCCAGGAGAGCAATCCCCTAATGCTGACTAGGGGCCTCTGGGCACCAGCAAGTTGTTGTAAATAACGGTTGCCGAACTTTTTCAGTAACTGTAGATTTCAGGTTCTAAAAGAGCCCAGCTGACTTGTCTTCCTAGGATCTCCTGGCTCTTGTGATCCTAGCAGCTGGCCATGAATAGCAACTGTCAGAGTACCATGCTGATGCCCCTCCCAGTGTATGTTAGAATAGGATGCTGCTGGCATTGGATAAACTTTTTCTTCTTGGAGGAGGTGTTGGTAGGTGCTTTATCCATAGCACTGGGCATGTTGTAATCCCTCTGCATGTCTCCCTAGGTGAAGGGAAGAAGCCCAGTTCTTGGAAGTTGGGTGGTGGGAGCCAGCTGCATGGTTTGATCCATTCCATTGACCTGTTATGTGTTTTTATACTCCAGGTGCTGCTGCTTCTTCAAGAGGAAAAGGAAGAAGACAGCCCAGCGACACAAGTGACCAGTGCCTCTTGGGGCCTTGCAGGAACTTGATCTGCACCTGCAGCTCCTGCCATGTCTTACTGAAAGGGGCTTCTCTCTAGGGGTGAGGAGGCAGCCGAGGAAGAGAAATGTGACGTTTTAAACCAAAAAGAGAAGAAGAAAACGTTCCAAAACAAACCAATCGGGGTGGATCTGCTGAATGGTCTCCCCATTCACTCCAAGCCTGAGGCTTTTCTGGTGATCAGGACTGCAGCTGGCTCAGGCCTTGGTTTGCCCTGTGGGAAGGTGGGCTGGCTGGCTGACCCTCCTCCCCACTGTTTACCGCAGAAAGCATCATTCACACCAACCTGAGGACTATGCTTTGTTTCCTGCTCACTTTACTCCCCTTCCTATGCTCTCTGCTCCTCCATTCTCCTCCCTCCCCAATAAAAATACTCCAGAAGGCTTAATTGGCTACGGAGAAGGTGAGAGAATGCCATCTGGGCAGGGGAGAGAGGTGTGGGCAAAGGGCCTGGCTGGGACAGGGGAAAATTTTCACCCCCTCCTTCCTCTAAAGTCCCTTTCAGTGTCAGCCTCTACTGCCAGCCTCGCCAGGTACAGCAGTGGGACACTAGTTCCCTTGTAGGTTCCTTGGGAACAGTTACTGTAGCACGCAAGCTGTGAGAAATTTGCTATCTACTGTTCCAGTCTTATTTTTTTTTTCTGGCTTCTGTGACACCTCCCTTGTCCAAACGGTAAACAGAGCAATGTGGATTGTTTTACAGAAACTGACATTGTTGCACTTTTTATTATTTTTTTTAGTGTTACAGATGCATATTGTGTCTGTAGATTTTTTTTTGCATGGATGACTGATGCCAGCACAGACAGACATTTAGCTGGGAATATGGTGGGGTGCAAAGAATGCCCTCAACTTATGGTTTGCTCACATCAAAACAAACCAACCCTAGTGCCGGTCTGGGGTTCCCAACACCCCCAACCTTGAGGGAAGCATACTTGAATTTTCAATCATCCATTTTAGCTGCCAGTGAATGGTCCCTATCATGGTTTCCTACACAGTGCCTAACCTGACCAGCTTGGAGCTGAAAGGCACTAGCTTGGTATTGACAGGACGGAGAGGCATCCCATTTGCTGAGCTTGGAGGAGTTTGCTTTGGATAGAGAAGCAGATATGGATTCAGGAAACCAGAAACCTGATGTTTCCCAAACTGCAAACCTGTGGCTGGGTGGCCGTGTAGCCTTCTTGGATGGTTCCTGGGAGGGTGATTTTTTTTTTTTGATATTATTTTTTTTGGTAAGCACCTTCAATGATGAAATCTTAACAAGAACAAAGCTGCCCTAGCAGGGAGGGAGCAGACACTTCACTGCCTTACAATGACTTTTCTCCTAGTGATAAAACAGGTTCCTTGAATTGGACCTTGTGCAGGCTTTGCATCTGCTCTGCAGCTTGCCTAGGTCTGGGAACACCAGCTCAGTCCTGTCTGCTGGGCCTGGAGCGCACACACCATGTGTTCCTCCCTGGAGGGGGGGCCAAAGTTTTAATGTACAGCTTTTGAGCCAAGCTAATACTTGGCCAAGGGCTTGGGGCACTCTGCACAAGTGTGGGGAAAAAAGGAGAAAAAAAAATCTTGCACCTCAGTGCAGGGATTGTTGAAGTCAGAGGAGGCTGCATTACCCCTGGGGACAGTGTACTGGGTGTTGCATGTGGCCAGGTTTGCAGGAGCTAAACGAGCTTTTTTTTCCTTTTTTTTTTGTGTGTAGGCTGTGAATTGCTTTGCCTGTGTGCATTCTCTGTCCTGATGGGATTGGACCACTCGCTTTAGAGGCTTAGTTTTCCATGTAATTGGGGCATCCCCACCCCAGTGCCTGAATTCTCTGCAGAGGATGAAGGGCGGGAAGGCAGAATCCAAACCCGACATCCTGTCTCTTCTAAATTGCAATCCAGTTGCCTTTCCATGTCCTTACCAGCACTTGCTGAAAGGGGGGTGGCAGGAGTGTAGCCTGGCTCCCTGGCCTGGGAAGGAGAGGGAGGAATCATTGTTAACAGGGGAAATCTCTGGAAGATGATCTCTCTTCCTTCCAGCAGGTGAACTTTGTTATCCATGGTGGGGGCTGTAGTGTGGAAAGACACCTCTTTTCCTAGTGAGGATTCAGGTCTCTGAGAATCCCTTAGGGGATTTCTTAGCTGTTAGCCATTTTCTGCAGAAGTATCTTAATGCCTTATTCTAATGGAAAGAAGGCAGCTATAGCGGAGTGCTTGGCTGTGCTTTCTCCTCTCCCCTGCCAGGGTGGAAGCTGAGCTGCAGGCTGGCTTGCTCTTTATTTGCTAACCCGCCAAGAGATGTTTATAAAACTTTTTAATTCTGCAAACTTTTTTCTTTTCAGTGTAATGGGGGATGGAGAAAGGACTGTCCATCTCCTTCAGGTGTGAATGCATGAATGACCTGAGCTCTTTTCTTTCTCCCAGAAGAGAAGGAGCAATTTAACCACTCAGTTTTGCTGTTTGTTCCTTCTCTTTACTCCTGCCTCCCTTCCCCCCCTCCTGAACTCTTCCTCAGCTACTGGCTTCCCAAAAGCCAGTCCGTCTGAAATTAGCTTATTTCCTCATACCCTTGCTGTAGGAAACCATGGTTTGGCATCTTGGGAAGAAGGAGGAGCAGGGATTTGTGGGGAGGACATGGTTGTGTACTCCCAGCTCTGAAAAAAATTGTGCTGGGCTCTGAGACACTTGCATTACTGCCCTCCCAAACCCCACTAAGTGCCTGTCACCAAAACTCAATTCCTTCTGCATTTTCCTGCCATTGTGAGTCATTCCTAGTTGCTTCCAATCAGGGAGTAGCTTGTCGTTTGCAAGTGTACATGTGTGCGTGTATGTATGGGGGAGTTGTCGCTACATTTGTTTTTTCTTCTTAAACATTTTTAAGTGAATGTATTTGGTTAGAAACTTTCCTGACTGTTTTTTAAGTGGGTCAGTTTGAAAGTCATTTCATATTGACCTTGCTACTGCTTAGTTCTGGGGATTTAATATCCTTTTAATCCTAGGATACTGTGTATGTGAGGAAGGAAACCTTTCCCCAAGGCATTCTGGTAATGCTCACTTATACCTTGCTCTCTTGCACTATGGTCAAACATTGGACTTTTTAAAAGGGCAAAGGATATTTAAAAAAAAAAAAAAAAAAAGCGGGTAATCAGTAGTCCTATTCTAAGGAAACTACTAAACCCAGGAAGTTCCAGGGCTGACTGATATGAGCCAGATCAAACAGGCCCATCATATGGTAGGAATTAGAGCATTAAACCCCACCTATATCCCCCTGCCTCTCCCCTTTCCTCTGTGAGCTAATGTATTACTTGGTATATACCTGTATTCTTCTGAGAGAGTGAGGGGGAGGATCTCTGATCACAGCTGGCTAATGGAGCTGCTTAGTGGGAATGTCAGCTTAGGTGTCCAGTGCTTCCTTTGCATGGTCTGAAACCACAGCTGGGGTTTCCAGATACAGCTCCCTTATAGCTGGGATCCATCCATGTTGCATTGCAGCCTCCTGAGGTATCAAGTGAGGTTTTCAATAAAATATTGCACTGCTGTATTGTATTCCATGTATAGATGTATTTATTACCCCTTCCTGAGAACACTCACTCATTTACAAAAGTGCTTTCCTTGCTTCAGGCAGGCTCCCTTGGTCACTCTTCAATCCTGTGTTGAAGCTCTGAACACCTCTTTAAAGGGGCAGTTTTAACACAGGAGCTTTCTAAATGCTTTTTCTGTGCTTTAAAGCCATGAACACTCCAGCCATATCACGCTTTGATATGGAATGCTGAAACTAGCCCTCTTCTCCCTGTCTTCCCTAGTTTAATTTCATACATCCCTGGTGATGGAGAGCAGGCTTCACTCACTGTTTGTTATGTTAAGATTCACTGCTGATACCCAAGAGAATATGAACTAACCATAAACAGGCTAACCACAAAGAGTGTAATCCATGGGCCTTGCAGAAAAGCATCTGTACCTACCTTCTTCATGGCAAAGCATCAACTGTCTTCCCTAAATTGTAAGAGCACTACGTTCTCTGGGCCAATACACTACAAAAGGGCTGTGCAACTTTGACAGTTGAGAATCCAGCAACTGCAGGTCCTCTTGCTCTAGCTGAGCTCTGGGTGCCCTCCAGCTTTATCAGACTCTATGATCACAGCAGGTGCAACATTGTGAAACCCCAGCCCAGGGTGCGCTTGTGCCTGCTGGCTGAGCACGTGCTTCCTCAGGAAGTTTGTCCCATAACATAGCTCTGTTGCACATGAAGCGGGGAAAAGGGGATGTGCAGCTACTTGGCCGAACACTCTGCATTCTCCAGTCATTGAAATGAATTGGCTAATCTACTGAACTGTCATAATTAGGAGGCTTCCCAGCATGCAAACAGCGATTGCTTATTTATTCTCCATAGTGGTAGGGGGGCAACGTTCAGTAAAACAGTGGCTCCTCCCTATTAACCAAAAAGCATCACCTTAAGGTAGCTTTCTGTATATTTAGGCAGAAGCAGCACATGTTGTTCTGTCGGTGGCGATTCTGTGTTAGTATCTGTTTCAATAGCAAGGTCTGCTTCATTGGAAGCCTCGCTCCTACTTGATTACAGTCTTAAATATAATTACTTTTTCCTATGAACTTTATCTCCTACTTTCCAAAAACCCACTGCTTCCAGGGACACTACTTCTCTGGGAAGAAAAAACCTCAGCAACTATTCCCCCAGGCCTCTCAAAACCTGCATCCATACCAGGCAATTCCTCTCCCTTATGGTCTTTATCTGTTTTCAAATACAGATTAGGCAGCAGTAACTTGCAGTATTCTGCTTTGAGCTAGGATTCTGGCTGAGCTTGTTTAGTGACACCAGTGAAAGCAGGGCCAGCTGGGCACTGCTGATTTGGGCACACTTTGGTTATGTTTGTTTCAGATTTGTTGTGTTTTGTTTTTTTCTTTTTAAGGGAGGAGTATTTTTCCCCTCCTTTTCCCGCAAGGGAACTGAATGTCTAGGAATAATGCATATACAACTAGAGCTGCCACCTTGTGCTCTTGCTAGAAACCTGCTGAAGTTACTGACTGTGGCAGAACTCTGCTATTTTTTCCACAAAAATGCTGGAGTTTCCAGAAGTCTCTCCAACCTGCTTACAGGCCTACTTCAAGCACTTCTCAAGGAGTGGAGTTGGTTTGTAATCCAAGGCTCAATTACAAACTTCTAAGCAAAGCAGGTATCTCATCCCCTTTGGCCTCTTGCAGGCTGCACAGTGGCTAGCAGTGCCATACCCTTACTTTTTTACTGTACTTTACAGGTCACAGCTGCTCAAATGTCAGGTTCACTCAGTTACTTCTCCAGCTAATTGACTGCAATATATTTTTGGGGGCTCCCCATCAGATTTCAATTAAATGGTTGTACAACAGCTAATGGTCTATTTGAGTAGAGAACCTGAAAAATGTATTTCCTTGCATTAAGAATCTCCAGTCCAGTATTCATGTAAGATTGTGTTAAATTTGACCTCCAGGTCTGGAATAAACAGCAGAGACTTTGTGTGCGTTTCTAGCTTGACTGACCAAACGTAAGCTGCTTGGACCAAGATCTTTCCTTCCGTATTCCTCTCCTTAGTTTTTACTGTGCAGTCTCAACCTGCTCTTTTGCACATTTTGAGTGTTAAGGAAAGACTAGAGGCTTTGGTGCTGTGGTGAGTATCAGTGGAGGACAGCAGCGGATTTCAACCTCCCCAAGAGCTGGGTGGGCAGGAGCTCCCAAGCTGGCAACATTTTTCCTTGTTGTCTTTCCAACCAAAGTGTAGGTGAAAGCTGGCAGAAACGCAGGCAGGCAAAATGTGTTTTAAAAAGCTTGTTTAATCCTTTTTGTGGGAGTGTCTCAGGAAAAATGGTTGATCTCTGCAATAGATGCTAGTTTTTCCCCCATCTGCACAACCTTGCTGTACAATTTAAGCAGCTCTGAAGCCCCTGTCTTCCCAAGCTGCCTTGGCTGAAAAGTGACAACACCTCTTCCCAAATTAGAGCAGCAAGGCTGGGACTGGTGAAGCTTTTACTTTTAATTATCAGGCAGAGGGAAGACCATCCTCTGGGAACACACATATCATACCAAATACCCTTATGAATTGTATGCCTCCACATGGAAAATTACTCTTAAAGGATTAATTCTCACTAGAAGTCTTAGCAAGCTATAATTTATTTGGTCTCTTTAATTTACCCCCATTATATTTTCAACACTGGGATGTTGGTTGCAACTTTTTTTTAACTGTAAAAATACACACAAATCAGCTGTGGAAATCATTTTTTTTAAATAGTGTGTGGATGTCTCATTCTTGGTAAATGCCTTTGAGGTTTTTTTAATATTAATTTTAAACATGTAATGTGGTATTTTATTTCTCCTCCTGGCACTGGTCTTTGAGCTCAGCTGTGAACATGCAACGTGTAGTATTTTTTAACATGAATGTTAATTTCAGTTGTATTTGAAATGGTCCAGCCAGGATAAGGGCTTATCGGCGAGGAAGAAGATCCTCGTGGGGGGTGCCTTCCCCTCAAGAAAATGTGTCCTGCTTCCTGTTGCTCTTTCAGACTTGCCCGTTTGTTGGGGCGCGAGGGAGAAACGTGACAAATGTGATCTTTACTTGTCTCCTTTCCCCGCGGGGGGCCGGGGCTCCCGACTGCTCCTTTTTTGTATGTAAAATAAAACGTCTTACCTATGCTGTCTGCCATCTGCCCGCCTCGTCTGTCCGCCACCCCGCTCGCACGGCCAGCCCCCGCTGGAAACAGGTCCCGGGAGGAAGGGCGGAAACGGGACACCCTGCGCGCACCCCGGGGCTGAGCCCGGCCGCCACCTCAGCGTGGCCTTGTCTCGGCCAGCCCACCCAGAGCGCGCGAGCCTCGGTCGCTGATTGGCCCCGCCCTCATCACCGCGCGGCAGCACGTGCGCCCGGGCCACATTACGCAGGCGCGGGGGCGCGCCGTAGCGCGGTGAATGCTGGTCCTATCCCTCCCCCACGCCGCGTGCTCCGTGCCCGTTCCCTATTGGCCAGCCCGCGGCCCAGTGAGCGCCTGGAAACGTGGCAGCCTCCTGTGGCCCCGCCCCGCCCGCTGGATCGCACCACCGCTCTTCACTCCGGGGTCCCCTCCAGCCTTCCCCCTTCTAGAGACACTTGGAGCCTTCCACCAGCTGGGCCCGCGCGGGGAGGACTGTACCACTGCCTCGGGGGGGGGAGCAGCGCCGCTCCCCCCGGCC